CATCCCTGGCCTCCTCAACCAGTGTTGATGTTTCCCAGGTTTTAATAGGAACATATCTATCTGTCCGGCATGAGTAAGTGAGCTGTTAGCAGGGGAAACTCAGCTGAACTGTTGGGAGAAGATCCTGTAGGACGTGAGAAACAGAAGGAAGGAGAAGTTTGGTTCTAAAAATAAGTCTTTGTATTGGCACAGTACAGTGGGGGGTTTCTGGCTCAGAGCTGGAGAATCTCCGTGGACGGCTGACGGTGACGGTAATTAACTGTGTTATTTATTTAACGTTGAGTCAGCATATCCTCACTTTGTTGGGTCCAGTCTCTGCTGACTGAGCTCTGCCAAGATTCCTGCACAGATCCACTAAATAATATTCAGAAAGCAGATTTCTGTTGACCAGACTAAGCTACGTCCAAAGAAAGCTTGTGTGATTTGTACAAGGAAGCTTTGTTTTTGTTTAAGATCCTTAAGAAATGCCAGTGTTTGTCTTTTTTTTGTTTTGTTTCTTTTATTATATGTTTTTGAGTATAAGAGACCTTTTACTTCTGCCAGGTTTAAAATACATAATATTTGTTTCCTTATTCAGGCTTCAATATTTAATATTGAAGTGATACATCTGACAGTGTGCTAATGAAAATATATTTGAAGATGTTAATTCATCAAATCTGATACTTGTATAGAAAACTCCCCACAAATTTATGTTAAGGTGTTAAACTCAAGAACTGATTTAAAATACTGCTTTATATGCGTCAAGTGTTTGATACATTACTTTCAAAAATTCAGTTTTACATAACCACCATACTTACAAGTGGAACAAAATAAGGCACGGATTGAGTGACTCATATGCACTTAAGCAAACTTTGCCTTTACAAGATCAAAATAACAGCTCAGTGACAGAGACAGTGGCTCCAACTATGATAGTTATCGTTGGATTCTCATTCACCTCCTTGGGGTAGGGCAACCTTTTCCGGTCTGTTATTGAGCAGAGACTCCAGCACTCTCTAGAATTTGGCTCTCATGAAACAGCCTTTTCACTTTTAATTTCTTTCACATGAGCTGTACAGGGAAACAATATTGTTCCGGTAAATCAAGAATAACAAGGAAATGCAGCACCATTATTCCACAGAAAATTGGGTTGCATCTGGTAGGACTCGCCTGCAACATTTTGAAGAAAAAATGTGCTTTATGTTTTAATCGTTGCTTTCATAGATACAGGGATATTAGTATGTTCTCTTTTTTTTTGTTCCAAACAGGTCTTCCATGTTTATGAATGATGACGTCAGAATCATAGTTTAAATTTACAGTCTGACATCAGTGACTAATCTTTTGTGCTGCAGCAAAATTATTCAGCTCAATGTATGTGGCAATGTTTTGAAATTCCTAGACATGTGCAAGTCATGCCCTCAGATAAAACTGGAGTCAAATGCATTTCCATTCACTTTCTAACTGCAAGACACAGTTTCCTGAGGACACTGTCGTGGGTGCTTCCTGATTTCATTCATTGATCTAACAAGATTACTGAAGTTAATTCCTTAAAATATTCCAAATCTGATCAGTCATCTGCACCACTGATCTGAAAAAAGTTTCTGTTCTTTAGGATCCCCAAAGACAAAAAAAGTAAATCTGCTCTAACTGTTGTTGGCTTTCCCACCGACATGCATCATGTTAATCCGTGACCAGAAATTAGATGGCAAGATGACGTGAAAATTCGTAGGAAGCCAAACAACGGCACGTAGAACATGTAGAACATTGTGTTTAACTGCCGTGCTGCAGCCAAGAAAAAATGTTTGACATGTCACATACGATGCAGTTCGTCAGGTACATTTCCCCCAACATGTTGCTTCACCACTAATTAAGTGAACAAAAGTGAGAAATATGTCATTTATAGTTTGTTCTTAAGTAGTTTCAACTTTGTCACGTCAACACTTTGTCTAGTACTAAAGGCTTGGAGAGTCTAATATCATAACATCTTTTACAGAAACTCTACAGCTTAGCTATTTTTACCTATTTCTTGAGATTTGTGGAAAACTGAGAGAAAAATAATTGTTTGAAGATTTTTCAAAAGCTAGTGATATAGAGAGTAAATTAACTAGAGTTCTACTAACTGACATCATCTATTGAAGATTCTTCATATAGAAAAAATAATAATGAAAAACTTTTTTTATGTATAAACAGTATATATAAATGCTTCACTGTTCATGAAAATGATACAACACCTCCCTCTGCTGACACTGCTCACTTTCAAGTCTCACAACAGAAGGAGTGTCCTGACCTTAACCAAACTGTCAGCTGTGTCAACTCCACAGCTGCTGATCCTGTGGGAGATTAATGTTCACTCTTATCTGTACAGACGACCTAAACGTTGTTGGGATATTGGTTCAGGAATGGGTTGATTGTTTCAGGTCACAGATAGATTAAAATCAGCATGAAGAAATAAATATCTGCCCATTCATTTACTTGTTACAGATTGTGGGTAAACACGTCTTGATGCGGTGGAGTGGCTGTTGTATTGTTGCAGCTGGTTGGGCTGCTGAGAGAGAGGAGCAGTGGAGGCCAGAAACAATAATGCAGTGGACATGCAAGACTGAGAGGGAGGGAAGGTCAGGGGAACCGACCAACGCGATTCATTCCCATAACCTCGACATTTTCTTCACAAAGCGAAAGTAATATTTTGACTGCTTAGCACACTGCTTCGTAAGACTGCAAGATTGATCATGATACTGTTTATGTTAAAATGTTGCTTATTGACAGACTGGACCAGCAGCTAGAAGAATTAGTTTTCAAATTCATTTAGAGTTCATTTTCTTTTGCTTTAAAAATAAAAACAAAGGGAAAAGATGATTTTGACCCTCTATTTTGATATAAACAATGTTCTTAGTTCAGACTGATCTGTAAATAAGTTGTATTTTATTTTTCTACATGTGAGCTCTATTTATTATCTTCTTTCTCTTGTTCCTTTCTTTTTCTTTCTTTTTATATAATTATTTTATAAGATGGAGATGCACAGTGACACTGCCTTGCACCAAGAAGGTCCTTGTTTCAAATTCTGACCTGGGGTCAGTTTGCATGGAGTTTGTCGCATAAAAATGATCATAACATCATCAGCTACTACTGGGATCAAAGTATAAATCAAGCCCTGATTTACATATTTACATTACTATCTATAAATATAGGTAATGTGCTGAAATAACAAAAATATAGGGACTACCAAACTAGCTATTTTCACTATGAAAATGTTTTCACCTAATGTGGTTACTAATATGAAAGTATTACCAGGGAAGGGCCTTATTTTTTTTTTTTCTTCTAACACTTTTCACAGCAGCCATTACACAGGATTTCGCTCACCTGGAGTTATTGAGCTATATCTTTCTCTCACTCTTTGGATAGGACACTCTCAACAACTAGAGAGGATGTCAGTCTGACTCCTTGTCTCTTTTTAAAGACGTTTCAGTCCATTGTCCTCACAAGTATAAAGTTAGATTTAATATTGATACATTTCTATAAAAAAAAAATACTAAACATGTAAAATCTCATAAAACCAAACAAAAAAATTCTTTACTTTTATTTTTCTGCTCTGCACTGAGACAACGAAAAGGAAAGTTTTAGAAAGCTTAGCAACTTTGTAAAACTGGAAGAAAAAAGGGGAACTGCACAATCAGAGGTCAAAGTTTTCCACTATGCTGCAGAAAAACCATGTGCATGTCATCAGATTGTTACAGCTTTAGTCTCCACAAACCAAAAATTACTCATGTCCCCACAACACTGACACTGGCTGGACTTAATCACATGAGATTCTATAAAAAGAGAACTGTGTTTGTGTTTTACACATCAGGTTTGGTTTTAAGCAACTGAAATGTGTTTATAATGAGGTGTTGAAATCAGTGGGGCAGTAATTCATCTCAGATAAAGCCTCTGGGGTCTGATCAGAAGGAGTGTCTCACACTGAACTAACAGAGTTCCTATTTTTTTTGTTCCAGAGGTGTCATTTTTCTTAGATGGAGCAAGTTTGCACCTAATCTGGATCATTTTTCTCTCCGGGTGGTTAACATGAATTCTCTAGAACTGTATTCTCTAGTCTGATGCATATTTATTTATCATTTACGCTCTCTGAAAAATAACAAACTTTTTTTGATGAAAGGGCTCCAATCTCAGCCAACGTGTAGCAATAAATCCCATAGACCCTTTATAATACTTATTTTCATTACATCTCTTAAAGGGCAGTGTTATGTAAAATTAACTTTTTTTTAGTTTTACATCATGTTATAATATTAATTCCTCATAAAAACAATGTTGTCATGATTCCTTCATGCATGTTTGAGAAATCCTTTAATCTTTCAAGACAACCATTCAGCTGTGCAAAACCCGTGGGTGGACCTAGCGCTGCCTTCTAGAATCAGCTCCTCCCTGGAGTTGCAGCTTCTAAACTTCTGCCTCACAGAGCAGCTCTTCCCGTGACTCCTTCACTCATCTCCTTCAGACTAGCCAGTAGCAGTTAGTGGTGGAACTGCACATCTGCTGAGTTCATTAGACAAGCTACTTTTCAGTGCAACACTGATAAAAACATTGTTAAACGGTAAATACAGGAGCGATGTTGTGATGACTTCCTGAAGGCGGAGTTTTAGAAAGAGCAGGAGCTTTAAAAGAGACAGAGGACCAATTTCAAGGAGTTAAATTGTGAAATCAAATTTATTTTAAGTTATAAGTGATATAAAGCATTTTTATTTTTATTTTAGAACAACTGAAGGTAACACAGATACTTGATTGTAGTATAAAATGGCGCCATGGCTGGAAAATAAATTACTGCCCCATAATTACCTAACTTTATTTTTTCCACAACTTTCCCAAATATAATCAATGACGGATTGATTGATTGATTGATTGATTGATTGATTGATTTATTTATTTATTTATTTATTTATTTATTTATTTATTCATTTATTTATTTATTTATTTATTATCACATTTTAGTGTAATATAAATACAAACACTAGGGGCGGTAAGTTGTCGCTACTTTGTTGAAGTTCACCGAAAAAGAAAATAAACCGGAAGTAGGCTTTGTTTTGGTTTTATTCGGGGCGCGAAAGGCAACAAATTACATGGTAAGTTCGTACTGGAGTTGGTTTTAACTTAAAAGGTGTTTTCATGTACTGTTGACAACATGTAACAGTCGCTATATAAACTCGGTAACAGTTTGTATTCGGGTTACGTCAAGCACAAAGTAATCAGCCAGATTTAGCTGATGGTTGTTAACAGAAAACATTATCTGCTGTGAACGCTTCAAACAAAACACGCTTCTGTCGCTTTTCTGTTTTCCTTGTGCTTTAAACGTGGATCGGCAAACAGCTGAGGAAGCTGATAAGCAGCTGTATTGTGCGCAGATTTAATATTTAGCAGGTGTTTAAACGGAAACGCATACAGAACCTCGGTTATGTGAAAACTGTATGTGAGCCTGAATTTGAAGTAGAAATAGAAATTAATTGTATTTTGTTTGTTTTTATTTTCATGTGTCCATATGTGTGTTGATTACAGTGCGATAATCTAAACTAATGCGTTATATATGCTTAAATTACGTAGTGACTTCTGTTAAAAAAAATAATATCCCACTTGTTTGTTGCACGAGTTCATCTATGGTTGTGCTGAATTTGTCCATGAAATAATTTTAGGCTGGTTTAAGGTCGATGTCTTTTTTATACAGAAAATATTTTTATCAAATACACTAAAGTTATTGTCTAGCAAAGTTTTTTGTTTTTAGCTAGTTTAAACTGAATTCAGATTTTTTTTACAGTGAATTTAAATGTTGTATCTCATTATCTAAGGGTCTTCAAAACGTTGTTGTATATGCTGAAGGTTGTGGGCAGGAAGCATCTGTAGCAGTCTGTCTGAAGAAGATCTCTTTCGACTGACAGCCCTTCTAATATGGAACTTGAAGATTTTTATTTTAAATGTGAGACAAATTTATTGTGAAGATCACTAAAATCTGATCTGCATTGTTTGCAATGCAGTTCAGGAAACTGTAATTTGGAAAATCACTGATGTTTATTGAAGGATATGTTTCCCTCAGCTTGAGTTCACGTTTCCTGTTTTAAAGGGTTTTCAACTCTTTGCTTGTTGGGTGCAACAGAAATTAAAAAATGAAGAAAAGCTTTTGTGGATCTGTGGCCATTTTTTACTACTACTGCTGCTTATGCTTGTATTAACAAAGTTCATATGCAAAACTAATATCTTGTTAATTTTTCCCCTGGTCTTAATGGAGAAAGAGAATCATAACTAGCTCTCACTGTTTATTTGAAATGTGAGATTGTTTGAAAAAAAATAGATTAAAAATTAAAAATTTGAGAGCATAACTTTCACACATGATGTTTTTGTTAAAGTCATATAGAAAAAAAATTTTTTTTGCTAAAATATTTACTGTAAAAATGTGTCGGGAGCGGTTGCTACTTCAGTTGTTACTGACAGCATTTTTTAAATAAATTTTAATTTATTTCTCCAGATTTCTTAAAAATGTCATCCAGACAGAAAGATCCAGCCCAGTCTATCTCTCCAGTCTTATTCCTGACTGTGGAGGGTGAACCCATGTCCTTCTTCCTGCGACCCGGTCCTCACAAACGGAAGCTACAGCCGCTCATCACAGCTGGAGGAGGGACGTTATGTAGAGTCCAGGTGCCTGGAGCCATCCTGCTGATTGATCCTGAGGAAAACAGCTCTGTTCTTGAATCCGATGCTCATCGGTGGGTGTTGGACTGTTGACATTACATATATAGTACAGTCAGTAAACAGTATGGAAGGACTTTTGTGGCTTTAAAGGAGAGTGATGTGGTAAATTTTTCTTGTTTGTGTCACTGGTATTTATTTTTATTTTCAGGTATGTTTCCACCCAGTATATTCATGACTGCATTAAGAAGGAGGAGCAGCTGGATTTAGATGATTATAGACTGAATCCAAAAGCAATCCAGAGATCCTCTTCAAAATTAAACAACAGTGGGGGAAGCCGTGCTGGACCGGTAGGAGGTACAACAACAACACTTAACTAAGGACTTTTTTTCATGAGGCTTTAGCTTCCCATCTGAAAGATTTTTCAGATTGAAATCTGTGATTCAGACTAGAAGTAGTATAGTCTGAATCTCATTAGCTTATTGTCCCATGCCACACTGTTTCCCAGTTATCCATTTTCCACCATTTATATAATAATAAAAAAAAAAACATTGTCAAAACAATTACACCCTATCTCCTACCTGGATAATCAAAATAAGAATATCATACTGTAAGATGGCCCAGCTACATTAGTAGTGCTAATCTCCAGGAAAAATATTTTCAACATACATAGTGAAATTCTTGCACAAGCTCTTAATTGTATGGCATCCAAGATCACTTCAGACAAATTCAGCAAATTCTTTTACCCCATCAACTCACTCAAACTAGGTGTGTACAAAATTCTAAATGAATACATTTTAAATCAACAAAAATGTCTCATTCTATTAGGTTAAGCAGATTTTTATGTTTAGTTACTTTCTAAAATGATTTAGTTGTATCATGTTTTTTTATTTATAATCCCCCTCTCTTAAATTTCATTAGGCAGAATTGCCTACACCCCTGAGGAGGATGCTGCCATTCTGAATTTCATCAGCAAGCGCAAGTCAGAGACTGGGGGCAACCGGCTTTGGCAGGAGATGGAGAAGCAGCGGGTGACCAGTCACAGCTGGCAGTCTATGAAGTCCAGATTCAAAGACCAGCTATCAAAGAACCAGTCTGCATCTGCAGAGGTGGAAACCAAAGAAGAAGACAGCAACAAGCTGCCTGAGAACAAAACTGAGGTAATTACAGTGAAATATGTTGTAGCCCTCTTACAGATTTCTTCTGTTTTTTGTTTTAAATGTTTCAAATCATCGCACACATTTTAATATCAGACAAAGGTTACCTGAGTTATCAATGTGTGATATTAATAACTGTTTAAAAGCATATGTTAAACAGGCTTCTACTTACAAATTCAAACACAAGTTATTTTAATATAATATTATGAAATGCAAAGTATAACATTTAGTTAGTTAAAAATGTTAGCTTATCCAAGAGTTTCACACACCAAAACAAATCTGTAGCTCCTTGTGTTGTAGATCAGATAGCTACCACTGAGTGGCACCAAACTGTTAGAAAAATGGGTAACACTTTATTTGAAGGGGTGCGCATAGGACTGACATGACACTGTCATAAACATGACATAACACCTGTCATGAACATAAAGAAGTCTTTATGAATGTTTATGGCTGTTGTCATGAAGTGTCATTCGGGAAATAATGACACTTTAATGCAAAGTTGTTCTAAAAGTTGCATTAAAAGTCCATTAAAAATGCTAACTTTGCATTCAATTATCATAATTTACAAAATCATCCAAAGTTGGCACTTTTAATGGACTTTTAATGCAACTTTTAGAGCAACTTTGTATTAAAAGTGTCATTATTTACCAAACTTCTTGACAACTGTCATAAGCATTCATAGACTTATTTATGTTCATGACAGGTGTTATGTCATGTTTATGACAGTGTCATGTCAGTCCTATGCACACCCCTTCCAATAAAGTGTTACCGAAAAATGTGTAGCTATTCAGCTGTATACATGGATTTTAACTAATGGCAACACAAACATTGGATGGAAATCTGAGTTGATGTAAAATGGAGGTTTTTGAAAATGAAGAGAGAAATGAGATATTTAAACTAGCCTGGCCCTTAGTGAAAAAAACAACTTTCCCTGAAATCTAGAATCAGGTTGTGTGTCCTGTGGCGTCAACAATAGTCATTAAACATTCCTGATTATTTCCAGTGAGTGCTTTAGATCTGCTAAGGCAGTTGACTCGCCTTTGCAGAATTGTCTCAATTCAGCCACATTGAAGGGTTTTTAAGGATAAACATAATGTTTTAAATAATGCTGGAGTACTTCAGTTGGATTCTAGACTTTGACTAGGCCACTCAAAGTTCTGTTGATATTTATTTGATCTTAAAGCAAGACAAGAAGGCAAAAACAGAAGAAATCTGTCAGAGCGCAAATGTATTTACCCCATAGTGTAGCTTTGTGTCAATAAACAAATCCAGCTGTGGGCTATTTTTAGATTATAAGTAGCTGTTCATATTTCTGCTTTCAGGCAAAGCTCAATCAGGAATCTAATGCTGAAAAATCTCCCTGTGAAGCAACCGCTGATCCTGCTCAGACACATTCAGCAGAATCAGATCTGACACAGGTACTGCTGCATGGGCAATCAGAACCTTGTTTAGACATTTCACGTCATGATTTGAAGACATGTCTTTATGTGATTAGCACATTGAGTTCAAAGCAAACCAAGGGAACTGTATTACCTGTCCCTACAGATTGATGTCCAGTCAATACCAGCAGCAGTCACACCTGAACAGGCAGAAACTCCGATAACGATAACGGCCTCTGTTACCGTGGAAGAGAGCAACACATCCGAGGAACAACCAAATATAAACATTCAATCGGAGAGTGTTGAAGGTGAAACGTCTCGCTGTTGTCAAACTGAGGAACAGGCAGAGAACCAAGCCAGCACAGAGACAACAGAACCAGAAAACGATGAACCTCTTACGCCTGCTTCCCCACGAAAACAGAATTTGTCAAAAAACTCCCCTGCAGATGAGCTCAAACTCTCAACTATAACGAGTTCACCTAACAGAGCAAAGCAAAAGCTGGAGGCATCCCCGGTGCAGGAGGAACCTCAGCGTCGATTAACGCGCAGGCAGCTGGAGCTGGAGGCAGCATCTTCATCCCCTGAGCCGTACGGCAAGAAACTGAGATCAGCCTCCAGCGCGGCTGAGCAGTCCACAGCATCCCCACCAAACTGGAAAAAAACTAAAACTGCCATGAAGTTAACTAACCAAGTAGCAGAAGAGCCGCCTAATAAGAAAGCCAGAGGGAAGAAAGCTGCAGCAGAGGTGGAGAGTCGGGTGGAGCATAGCAGCAGCGATGCAGAAACTAAAACTGTGCAGCCAGGTTGGACATGAATATATGATGGTTTGGTGAATGCAGTGTATTTCATCTCTTACTTTGGTTTAGGATATTCTGTTTTGATAAGAAATCTGTTTCTTTGTTTTTCCAGATGAAGCCAGTTCAGCCCCGCAGAAAGCAGAAAAGAAAAAAGAGAAAAGGCAGCTGGGAATTCTTGAAATGGCAACAAAGGAGTTTGAAGATGATTTTGAAGTAGGATATATATGTCTGCATTTATGCAATTGGCATTCCAAACATTCTAATAAATTTAAATACTTCTGTCTTGTTTTTATAGTCTGATGAAAATGAAGGTCCAGATCTCCTAAACAATGCTGAAACAACAGCTGAAACTACAGCTGCATCAGCAGACGCTCCACAGCCTTCAGACTCGTCTGCAGATCCACCGGGTGCTCAGCCCGACTCTGAAGCTGAACCCAGCACACAGGGGGCTGGACCACAGACTCAGAGCTCAAGCAGCAACTGCATCCCGAACACCGACACCCCCGATGCCGGGTCCGTCCTGCTGCCTGTTTCAGAGCTCATCAGCTCCCCTTCAAAGGCCCACCTGTTCATATTTGACAGCGAATCTCAGGTAGATGACTCTCAGTCTGTGGTTGGCGAGGGCTCAGCAGCTCCACATCACCCTCAGCGCTCAGAGGACAAAGACGCAGCGTTTTCTTTAACTCAGACGGAGTTGGAAGAGGACAAGCAGCGAATCAGGGAGCTGATGGCCCAGACCAACCAGGTCAGCGTCGCAGGTTTTCACCTCCAGCCCTGGGCTGTTGCAAAAATTCAGTTTTAATTGAATTTGTTTGTCTTTCCAGGACCTGGTCAGTGTGACCAAAGCTTTGCTAAAGACCAGCGGAGACTTCGCTGCTGCCGCTGATTTGCTTTTGAACCCCTCATCTGTTTCTGAGCCATTTTGGAGTCGCAGTGATGACAGTTTGTTGCTTTCAGCCGATCCTGTCGGCCGTCGGAAGCTGCAGGAAAAATACGGGGAGGAGAATGTGGCCAAGAGGATTGTGTTTCTTGAAGTGAAAGGATAAAGACAGCATAGGATAACAAGATTGACGGTCTGGGCTGCTGAGATTTTGTTCTTGATTTAAAATTTAAACCAAGATTAACTATTAAAACAGGGATTGGAAAGATTTTATACATTACAACTAGTGTGTATAAATTTGGAGGTGATCCTTGCTTTGTTTTAAGAATAATGTTTTTGATGCATTTTAGCATGAAAAGATGTCATTGAATTTGTTTTTAATGTTTTATTCATTAAATTCCCTAATAAATATGACAGTACCATTTAATAAGTTAGAATTTGTTTAATGTTATAACATAACAGGCAAACCAACTTTCTTCTGGACCTGTCTGCTGTTTCTTCATGATGCTGTTTGTTCAATATTGCTCTGAACACCTGAAGCCTCTATTGAACACCTGGATTTATACTGAGTTTAAATTACCTTCAACTGGACAATATTTATTCATTGGTTGACCTCTGGAGATAATTTCATTCATCTTTTTAAGGGAATAGTAATAGAAATACATCAAATTTGAAAAAAATAAATGCATAAATTGAAATACCCCTGTATTATTTCCCTCTTTTTCACCATTATTTCCAATTAGGATCTAATTGATTTTAATATAATCATATAAGCACAATATTTTCTGGTCTTATTCTTTAAATTGAAGAACGACAATTAGAAAAAAAACTGTTTAAAAAAAAAACACCACCAGATCATTTTTTAACCAATCCACCGCTTTATTTAACTTTACCCCAATACTAACTGAGTACATTCATCATTTTGAAACTAAGACTGCCCAACACCCACATCAGTACACCGTATAAATAGTTTCAACAAAAATATTACAAATGATAAACTTACAAATGTAAGAGAAAAGAGTATGGAATATAAATAAATATAGACAAAAAGCCAATTAAACTGAAGATGTTACCTGCGAGGCAAAATAAACATCGAGACTGGAACCTGATAGAGTTCAGCAGCTTTTATCCAAATGTTGCTGCAGCTTGGACCTCCCAGTTACATTCATGGAACTGAAACAGAAAATATGTTTGCAAGCGAACATAAACTGTTAACCAAATCATCCCCAAACTTTATGAATAAAAACTCCTTTTAAAAAACCCTTTTTTTTTTTTTTTTTTTAATATGAAACATTCACATCCAGCAAATGTACATACGCGTTGTTGGTGGTAAGCTTGAAAACTTGTTCAGTAAAGCAAAACTCACACTGAGGTTTTCAGTGGATAACCAAACGTCATGAGTCCCTGTGTTTTTAACAGCTACATTATTTTAAGGTCTTTAAAGGCTTCCAATCAAGCTACATTCAACAAATAAAAGAGTCGCTACGGCTTTTTTTGAACTAAAACGAGGGAAACCTGCTTTAAGTGGTGGCAAAGTGGAGATGTTGTACCTGACATCCAGTAGTTTACAGGAGATACGGATGTTGGGGGGGAAACCCTGTGTGGTTGGCATGTGCACTGAGACTGAGTCTGCGCAACTTTCCAGAGTCAGAATCATTTCATCACGTTGCTGTACATGATTGCTTTGGTTGGCTGGTTAGTGTGATGATCAGATGAGCGAGAAAAATCTCAGACCTGCCGTTCGCGGATGCTGCGGCCATACAGTATTAAATAATGGTATCACACAGTCCAGTAGAAAAAACAGAATGACTCTTTGTTACTCATCAGACTGGTTTCATATCGTCTGAAGACAACAGCGAGGCTGTTTTTGTCACTGTTTTCATGTGTTAATTTTGTATTGTGTGTTAGTAGTTGAGAAATAATTGCAACAAATATGTTTAAGTTATTAAAAGCTTAACATAGTTACACAGTCTAATGGTTAACACATTAGTTAAAGAAAATACACCTTTCGCCACAAGTAGTTTCGTAACAAATATGACAGACAGTACGCAGTCTGTATTGCAGCTTTTTAGCTCAAAATATATATTAGAAAAGACACAAAACTTCTTTTCTGCACATCAGCATGCTTCAGAATATTCTGCCCCCGAAAACTTCAAGATAGAAGTATCACTTAATCTTGGATCCAGTAAATCACACTCAAAATCTAAAATGAACAGATGATTCAAACAAACAAAAAAAAAAACATTCATTCTCTCTCCATCCATTGATTAGTTTCTGTGCTGAATTATTTCCTCAATCTGCAGCAAAATGAGTTAGCATAAACACAAAAGGCCTCCGGGGTATATACGATCACATGCTGGCAGAGCTCATGTACAGACCGATGTTTCTAGCCCTGTTCTAAAAAGAAAACGAAGCACTAAGTGAAATCTGCCCTCCTGCAGACTGCTGTCCAGAACAGCAGGATATGAACAACAATCACCTAAAGTAAAACGGCTGAAATGTATTTTATTTAGCTTAATGTGAAATATGCCCTTTGGTTTAGCATGAAAAGCTGAAAGGAGTTGTTTACCATTAATGATTTAGGTTCTTACAATCCAACTCCTCTGTCTTTCTCGTTTTCAAGCAACTAAGTGTTGACTTGTGCAAATTCACGGCACAACACGGGTGGCTTTTCCTTAACGAAGCACATCTGAATCAGAGCAGAGCGCTGCAAGCAACACCTGGCCTTACTCTGCCTTGCATAAGTAGTCGTACTTTCAAACTTTGTTCAGATTTTGTCAAAATACAGTCACCAACATCAATGTGTTTTATTGGGGTTTTATGTGATAAGCTAAAACAAAGTAGTTAAGTAGCAGTGAAATGAAAATGACGCTTGGTTTGCCAGTTATGAGAAAAATACAAATCTGAAGAGTTATGGGTTTCAACTCCCTACACTCTTAATAAAATCTGTATTTTAGATTATAAAGTACAGATACTGTTAGAATGGCGGAGCTCTGTTCAGTCAATTATTCTCAAATGAATGGAGTATGATGCAACCACCAGATCTATGGTAGCTCTAAGCAGCTGCAGAGAGACACAAACTTGGACAGATCAATTATTAGTTTTTCTTATTTGTGTATTCCACAAATCTGGCATTTATAGAAGATCAAATGAAAATTTAAGTTTTGCTTCTTAGGGGGGATATGCGCAATTGTAGTGCGGGAAACTACCACTATGAAAACATCTTCTATGCTCATGCTTCTGCACAGAAGCTGTTGAAAAAACATGTTAGAGGCTGAAGAACACTTGACACTAGAGCAACAACCCTAGACATTGATGTCTATAGATACTCTGTGCAATCGTACTCAGTTTGTATTGGTGCAGAACAGCAGAATACCACTGCACAGCACATTTTTCAGATTTACTGCTGCTAAAAAACAAAAATTGTGATCAGAAAACCATGGTACCTCAATATTATGGGCCTCCTGTGTTAGTCTATCACATAAAATCCCAATGAAACAATAACATTTTTGGTTGGAGTGTGGCAAAACATGAAGAACCTCGAAGGTTATGAACACTTTAGCAAAGCAGCGTACTGTAGTATTTTAGGGGCTCTGTTCCAGTTGACGCCCCCAACAAAGACAATACAACAACAAAAATACCTGCTTTCCTTAAAAGAGGCAAATGGCTGTAAGAGAAGCTAAAACAGGTGACAGCCAGTCCAAAACAGAATAAGGCTCGCTAAGTTGCATAGAAATTCAGTAGTGCACCGGTGCATTTACAAAAAAGGCTGTGCTCCTTTCCTCTGTCGACTTTGGCAAGTCTGCAGAGTTCCCTCAGAAACAAGCAGAACTTCAACACCATTTGTCTCCTCTTTTCTTTGTCTTCCTGACAGAAGACACTAAAACCCCAACACTTTAATTTGGACTCTAAATGCCACTCCTGTGTCCCGATCACACAAAAACAAGGGAGTATTTCAGTCAGGGGGAACAAAACGTTTCTCAATCTAAGAGATGTATAGTAATCATTTTGGTGAATGGAGGAGTACAATATGTACTGTATTTACTTCCTTTAGAAAAAAAGGATCTTAACTGGATAGAAAATACTTTTCAGCTTGTTTAAAATATTTTTTTTTTTCTCCTCTGCAAAATTATTTGAAGCCCTGGAATCAGCAGCAAGAAAGAGAGCACAGCTTGGTGTCTGCATTTACGAAGCAAAGACACCCCCCACCAACACTTTCCAAACAGCAAAAACAGTATAAAAGCACCAGTTCAGAGCCTGCACCATGTTAAGCTTGTTCCACCTCTAGTCAGGATGACATTTTGCTCATATTTAAACTCCAATGATTAATTGAGATTAATCTCCAACAGGAGATGGAACAAATCCCAGCTGTGCAGCCATCAACTGAGCGGGACTTCGGCCTCTGCATCCTTATCCGAGATCTCGTCCTGGATCTCGTCTGTGTTCCCTGAGTCGCTGCTGGCCACCGAGCTGAAAGAAGGAGAGTTTCTGCCGCCTTTAATCATCCGCCGACAGGTCTCCATCTGCACGTCGAGGCCCCTTTTCATGCTGCACATCTCCATGTACTCATGCAGATGTCGGTTCATGTCGCTCTTTGCAGTGGCCAGCTCCATCTGAAGCAATATCGACACGATTAGGAGTTCAGATAATCAATTGAAACTCTACAGCAGACGTTGGAGGACGTTATTAAGTCTACACCATCAGAGGTAAAAGCTGCGTTTTGTGTTGAAGTAATATTTTTGGATGAGAATACATCGTAACATTGATCAACGTCTGAGCTAAGTGTGGGATATATTTGGTCATGAAGTGCAAATTTATCTAAATCCAAATGAAAAGCAAGTGCTTGAGCTAGGATGGTCAAACTATTATCTGCATCAACGAAAACTCCAACAACATTTTTTCTTTTCTAATGCACACAGGAAGCACTTTTTCTTTCACTACAAAATCATATTCATATCAGTGTACCTCAATCTGTCCGATGGTCTCCTGGTACTCCTTCTCCCTGCTCTTAAATAGGGTCTCTGTTTCATCAATGAGGCTGCCAAGACTTCCATCCTGGGAATCCTTAGAGAGCACAGACATAACCCTCATTCATCATGCATGAGTTCGCGTCTTACGCTGCATCCATAGCGTTAATGCATGCCCTGACTTGCAGAAGTCAGATTTTTTATTTATTTATTTTTTTTAATCATTCAGACTGAACTTACGGGATCAGCCGCTTCGGCGCTGCCTTCGCCGGGGCAGGCGGCCGCGCAGGTCGTTGCAGCGATGGTGCACGGCATGTTGTAGTTTGTGAAATCCTCCCAGAGCAAGAGGGTGTCCTCGTTTTCCTCCCACGTCAGACTGTCGCAGTCGTCGTCGATTTCGAACGTCTCGCGCCTGGCAACAAACGAGTTATCTGAACAATGTCTGTGTGGGACAGAGACCGGAAAGGAAAAGGAAAGCATAGAAAGGTGTAACAGCCAGCAGGTTCAGCAAAGGTCGAAGGCAAAGAGGAAAATTAAAATGTCACAGATAAGACGAAGTTCAAAGAGAAGAATAGCAGTAAGGGAAGCAGCCACTGTAGCTCATCAGTTAATTGCCAATACAAAAAAAGCACAGGAATGCCAACATAAAAGGCTACAGCTCTGCTAAGACAGCATGCAGCCCATTGGTTGCAATATTTTAAATCAACAGCAGAGGGAGATGAAAGAACACACACTCACACGATGTCCAGAAAGTCATTTGGATTTGGTGTGTGGTTGTTTATTAGGGAGGGAGGTGTCACTCACAGCTGGTTGAGCATGCGTTTCATCTCGTCAGTGATGTTGAGCGATCCAGGAACCTCCTCCTCAGAAGTGCTTGGCTCAGCGTCCATCTCCGAGTTCTCCTCATCGGAGATGGTCTTACGTTCCTTTCTCCTGCAGGACGCTGCAGCACCCTACAGAACACGCAAACACACAAACTGGGCTTTAACAGATGAACATTGACATTGTTTAAACTATATTATTAAAATTTTTAAAGAAGACCTTCTTTCTACTTGACTGCAGCCCTCATTTGGCCTAAAACAACGGTTTCAACAATTAACCCATTGAGTTCCTTTCATTTTTTTTTGTCCCACTTCTGTTCAGTAGACACAAAAACGACTCATATATGTACTTTGTTGCATTTTTTTTACAAATAAGATGACTGACCACCATCTCCACTGTACATTATTAATTTTACATTTTTTTAACCCCATTATTGCCAGTTTTAACAATTACCATTTGTTCTGTTTGGAAAAAACACTGAAAATTTAATATTTTCCATCCCTAATTTGTAAACTTTGAATCCGATCAGTTTTTATTTTTTGCAAAAGGTGCGAGAAATTGCAGACAGAAAACTGCTTTTCAGTTCTTTCCATACATTACGAATACTCTAATCATGTTTTTTTTTCTCAATTTTTAAGCATTTTAATGCAATGTTTAGCCAGCTAAGTATGTGTTATCGAAGTCCAAAACAGTCAGCATTGATTCAGATACATTTTTAGCTTTTAAGCAGAATAGATACAATTTATTTGAACATAAATATATGCAAACTGATTGTAGGTCTACAGTGCAGCACATGAAAAAAAATAGAATGGAAGATTTCAACACCAGGAAATGGAAAAAAAAAAAACTAAAATAAAACTGAAATTTTGATGAGCAGAGATTACTTTAGCTTAAAAGGTATAGGGTATTTCAATATTCACCAAACTGACAAACTTTTATGCCATTTATTTTATCCAAAAAACAAAACAAAACACATTCAGACAGTTTTGAGTACATTAGTGAACATGCACGCCTGCACCTCTCAGAGAGGTCAGTAAGTGCAGAATCAGCTTGAGGTATAAGGATCAGTTGCAACATTATGAGCGACTGGCAGCTCTGATTTCATTTGAGCTGAATGTTTCCTCTGCAGAAGAATTCTATTTTTTTCTTTTTGCTGCATTTGCTGTCAGCTTTTCTCACAAAACACAATCACACGGAGACTCGCCTTCTCTGGGAGCGACCTGGCGGGGCTGACGTTGAACATTTTCGACATGTCCTCCGAGTTGCGTTGCTGAGCCACGTCGCACAGCTTGGCTGTGATGTCAATACGCCTGCAGATGTCCATGTCCACCCGCCTGGCTTTCTCCTGGATCTTTGAGTCCAGGTCAGTCATTTGCTGCAAAAGGGTGGAGAGCATTTAGATGACAAGTGCAACATTTTTCTTTATACTTGTTTGACATTTTCTGGATGTATTAGACCTCCACTACATGATGCTGGGTGTGGGGACAGGATGGGAGCATTCCAGCTCTTATTTTTAAAGGGTATTCACACAATTTACGCAGGAAATGTAGCTTCTTCTGAGTGATAGTTGGGCGTTTAAATGTTTGACAGGAAAAATAATTAACATTTAATTATTATATTTACTCTTTTATTTACCAATTCTGCAACTTCGTTGAGGGTTTGTAATAAAGAAATAATGGATTCTTTTGTAAAGGCACACATCAGCGTGAGTTTGTCGTAGCTGTCAATATTGATTTTTATTTCTGAAATATTGTTTTTGACAATTCGGAAAACTTGTGGTTAACGGATTAACACTGGAAGCTCGTCATCCTATTAATCCAAAAAACTTTCAGTGCTGCACAGTGATAATCGTTTTATTATTAAAAAGAAAAAAACAGCAATGTTTCAATAAATTCATTCTAAAAAGTAGAAAACCATTAGATTTTAGGAGCAGACATCAAGCTGTAAAGGACAAACTCTGTTCTAATGCAGCCAATGTCGAATCACCAAAGTCAAAGTCACATCAACCACATACACACACACACACACACACACACACACAAACACACTGACTAATTTCTAAAACACATTAAATAATCTAGCCCTCCTAGACAATCTTCTGGCACTTACCAGTCTCTGCATTCACACATCAGGGATGAAGTAAAGAACAAAAAATAACATGAAAATTTAACAGCAAGCAGACGGCAATGTAAAGATAAGCAACATCAACAATAGAGATTTTCCAAAAACAACACAGCCTGGCTGTTTATTTGTGACCAAACAGCAGCTGTGAATGCTGTAGTGTGTTTTAACTGTACAATCGCACCAGGGCAGGCACACCTGTTTGGAAACAATACAGACTGGCAGGGGACAGGACGTGCTATAGATCTAAAGCCTCTCTTCAGTTCAACGAATGCTTATCTTAGGGGTTTTATGGCAATTCACATTTTCATGTTTCCAAATAAGGAAGGAAGGAAGGGTGTGTGTTACTATTCAAACCAATAAAAATGAGAACACTATTCTGATAATTCCTGGGAAAACAGTTGTAAATGCTACTGTAATCAGCGCTTTGAGTTGAATGGCTACCACAGGTCTTGATGTATGAAAGGGAAGCTTTGTAACACTTAAGGGAAAGACGGTGACATCATCATAGCAGTGAGTAAATACTTACGTCGCTCATCAGGCTCTTGAAGACCACGAGTTCAGCCTTCAGTCTGTCCACCTTCTCGTTCAGCTCATCCTGGATCTCTGACGACTCCTGGGCGCTCTACATGGACGACACCAGAAGGAATTCAATACAAGGGGAAATTTATATTTTGAGACATAAGACTTCAAAATAGTTGTAACTCGTGCTAAAATACATCTAGGTTAGCTTGGCCATGATGAAGCTTTAATTTAGTTTAGGAAAAAAGTTAAATCAACTTTAAAAGTAGTTAACTTTATAACCCAGGGATAAAGTGTTACATGGTGATGTTCTCACAAGTTTACTGGCAGATAAACCTCTCTCTTGTCTTTTAAGTAATTATGTGGATACAACTAGCATCTGGTTAATGGAAATTTGGGTCAAACTTTCATGGAGTCTTTCAAAGGAACACAGGATGTACTTTGTTTTTCGCATTCCTGTACATAAGCAGCAAGGTTACGTGCCAAATTAAAGGAATTCTGCAAATGTTCTGCACATGTAATTTAATCCACAGCCTCAAATTTAGCCTTTCTATAATTTCAAATCAAACAGGCATCTGAGTTTTAAGACATTCGTTAAATGAATACAGTTAAATATTGTTTAGCAAATGCCCGGTTATGCTCCTGTTTTTAGTTAGCACACTGATTCCTCTGGCTCTGCTCCCTGAACGAGAAATGGCCGTTTGCGCTGACTTTACTTCAAGCCGATTCCCTCTACGTTTTTACATTGACGTGCTAGTGTGCACTGCAAGGTTAAAACCCTCAGGGGGCTTCGGCAGTCCACCTCTCTACCTGGCGTTTTGCTGATACAGACCATAAGACAAACATGCGTGCAGCCACAGATCGATCGGTGCAGAAGCAGAAAAGGGAGATGATGCCAAAAAGATGAATGACTATTACCAGCTGGGTCGGCTCTTTGTGTTGTGTTACAGCTTTAAGGTGATACACTTTAAGTTCATTCCCTCTACATCTGCTTCCTTTTTCCTGCTCCGAGCGGCAGCATACTGGCAGGCTGCTGGTGGTGTTTAACGCTTCTATCTCCTGTGCATCTCGGCCAGCAGCCTCTTCTGATGGCTTTGTAATGAGGTTACTCTGATCGGACACATGCTGCTGGCTTATCCTGCGCCATGTAGCCTCAGTTTCCCTATTCTGAGGCTGCTTGTTTTCCTATAATCTTATAATGGTGGAAAGATGTCAAATATCTGTTTGTGTGTGTGTGATCACAGAACACATTTCAATGTTTATGCTTCCAAACCTGCTGTAGGGATTCCACAGTGGATTCCAGCTGCTCTCGCTTGGATAGCTCCTCCTCCCATCTGCAACACACAGCACAGAAAACAGAGGTGGGTCACTTTTACTGCCGGATCCAGTCCCCCAGAGGCCCAACGTATGGCTTAATGGTACTTTTGCGGAATAACACTCCCGTCTCTGATTACAAAGCGCCCCTGACAGTGTGGCATCACACCCACTGCCCCCTCTGTTTCCACGCTTTTGTCCTCTTCCTCCTTTGTTGCCTTCGCTGGTTCAATAAAAACTCAAAAGGATGAATGGAAAGCTGGTCTTTCTTCAAACACAACAAACATTGCTCATGAATACTGCTGGGACTCTTGGGTGACTGGAGGGTGGAGTGTTTCTGCTGCAGCCTGAATTCCTTCATGCTAACACGCTCCATTTGTTCATCATCACGTCTGAGGAGTGGGAGATATGCGTCCCGTTTGCGTCTGTTAAATTCCATCAGAGCGACTAAGATTTGTGCAAATTAAATTGACATAGACATGTACTTATTCATTACAGTATAATGGATGATTGCATTATAATTGTACCCAACTGTAACTTACATCTTCAGTTACAGGCTCAGAAATTTTATGAGAAAATACACTTAAAGAAGAAAGATGCTGGTGTCCGTGTGAGATTTAGGCTAAATGGTGATTATAAGGAGATCATCTAGTGGTAAAGTACTTAGGACGTTTTAAGTTAGAAAAGATTTTTGCTTTCCAAAAAAGACTTTGGAGGTCAAGTCTTTAGTTCATGTTGGGCTCCATAACGAACCCCTACAAAAGTAATCATTCTCGTTTCACCATAAGTAAATTTAGAGGAACATCAGAGTATTAATATTCTGGATTCGAGTGAGGTTTAAAACCTTCTAAGATGATGTGTAGATCTGGAGATTGTTGTGAAATAAAAATCAAATCAAGAGAAGGACCTTTTATTCAGAAAATGTTCAGAAAAGTCAGTTTTATTATACTTTTAAAAGTAGCACACTGCATGCCAATATTTGACCTTGACAAAGGGGTTAAATGTTTTCAAAATAAAGTGCCATAGGTGCCGTGAAACCTTTATGATGTTTTTTTCACTTTCTTGTAAAGTTAGATCTTCTGGTCTCGATGCATTATGCAACACCATTGCAATATATCAAAGAGCTCATGTGCTTTGTATTCTTAGACTGCAATGAATTTTTACTATACAGTATAGCGTTTTATCGTGCTAAAATAGGCCTTAAATGTTGCACAGTTTAAGGCCTGTGCCATGAAATGAGTCCCTATCACCTCTCAACACAGTTTTCAAGTTTCCCTTGACTTCACTTTGAACACATCACTAATACTGACAGTAAGTAACTTTGATTCTTCTCCCCCAACAGTATCCAAACCTAAGAGTGCATTATCAGCAGTACAAACTGGAAAAAGATTGGATTTTTGAATTTCCAAACGACCTATTGTCTAATTATGGTCACCACCTGATTTCTTGTAAAGACCAAGTCTAAGTGTACATGATGTTGAAGCTAATGTCAATCATGTCTCTTATTTTGTGATTCCAATTTCATATATGGAAACATACAAGTGCAAGATGATGCCAGATTAAATTATATCACCTGTGAAAAAAAGGGCTGAGAGTCTGGCAATGGCGGCCATACTGCAGAAACATGTTATCAAAACACCAACAGCTTTTTAGATGAATAAAATCTGACAGTTGAAAATATCTGGTTATTTCATTTTGTCTTTCTTTAACTTACAAATAAACTGACTGAAATTAAATAATACTTTCACAACAGAGGCCAGTGCGAGGCCGTTATCAGGACTGTTGACTGATAACGGCATGAACTGATCTGCTCCTACAACAGACCCTTGAGGTACACCATTAAAAATAGGAAATGAAATCATCTGGCTTCGTGCACTGTGACAAAGATAATTAAAAGCCAACATATTTGTTGTTTATCATCAAATGTTCACTTAAAATTCGTGGTGTGAGGTGGTTATCATGGCATGTTTGCCATAATGATTTTTTGGTATAATGAAAACATTATGCCAATGTTCTCATTGGTATAATAGGATAGGATTCTTTTGCAGGAAAAACATTAATTTTCCTAACTAAGCTCCTGGCAATCAGTCCACAAGTGGGGAAAACATTCAACCAATGCTAATAATAAAGCACCAGAGCCTCAGATTAGCTGTAAGCTATAATTAAATATGAAGTTCTGGTTTCCCCCTCTTGCTTTCCCTCTTGTCATATTGCTCCTCTTGACCACAGCAGCTGTACTTAAACAAAATTAGCAGCCAATTTCATTGTCTTGCTGTGTGCATTGCACACAAACCCCAGAGGGCTTAGCCTTCTGTATGGGGCATGGCCCCAATACACACTCATCTTGTGTGATATGAGACAGAAACAAAGCTGAGTCAAAAAGGCTTCCCGACAGAGTGCAGAGTTCAGAATGAAGGAAAAACTCATTATAGCGTGTGAAGTGAAAACACCGTATCAGAGCGCCATGTGAGGATGAGTCATTCTACGCCATATTGAGGGGGATTAGAATAAAAATGGAGTTTCTGAGTGTGAGAGTTTAAAAAGACAAGGTGAGGCAGTGTACATGCCACAACATATATGTTTACTACATGAGAGAGATTACATAACATTACTTACCCACAGCCTTTGCCATGGAGAAGCAAAAATATAGCCTGAAGGTGGAACATGTGTCACTAGAAATCCACTTTCCCAACAAAGCTCAGCTTTGTTTTCATTCAGAAGCCACTGAATGTGCTCTGCCTAATTAGAAAGAAGTACTCCTTAGCAGGCCGAGCCAGATCGCTCCAGATTGAAAGCCCTGTTCTAAACAAAATGCTGGCAGTGGTGCACTCGGTCAGTCTGCCGCAGACCTCCGGCTGAGGTCACCGGAGTTCACAGCTGCACCACAATCTCCACAGACGCATGCTTGTCACAGCATTTTCATCACTTGTGTTGTCACTTCCTTTGGCCTCTGCCACGGCCTTTTCAGTACTCACCCCAACTGGAGGTGATAACGGTACAATGCAATTAAACGCCCATCAGGAGGGAAACTTAATATGTGCGTCAAAGCTATTTATATTAACTGTCAAATGTATTAGAGTCTGCTTTGTTATTAAAGTGGCAGCTTTTTCCATGTTATTTAGAGTGGACAGTTAATAAAGCCCTAAAGGACAACCGCCAGGCATGTCTAAGCATTAAAATAAAACGGTTTTCTCTGTGAGACATCTTCCTGTACCTTTGCCGTGACTGAGTCAAAACGCAAACACCAGGAGTCTCCTTACAAGGACAAAAACAGTGGGAGGGTTGGAGTCTGTGTCAGCTCAAAGACGTTTGTTTACTGCCAAACAAATTCTTTCAGATGTCTCCCAAAAGTAAATCAAAATCTAACGTGCAATGTTGTGAAAAAGTATTTCATTCACTTGTATATTTCTACTGTTTTCACTTATTTGTTTCTTTTCAATGTTTCTCTGTTAAACTTTAATTTCAAAGAAATATAACCCGAGTAAATGCAAAGTGCTGCTTTCAAATTATGACTTAAGTTCTTAAGAGGAAAAATCTTTCCAAACCCACATGGCCTAATATGAAAGCAAGTAATTGTGCCATAAATAGAGTTTAGATCTGGCCTAAAAAATCCAACCCGGTTCACTCCAAGCCAATAGACATTATGTCTGAGTCCAATCTGACTTACTAATTAACTCTAATTAGAGGCCCGAGCCCAAAGTAAACTGCTTCCAGACTTCTGATTTTGAACTCTGCTAGCTTGGTCGTGTAACTTCTTTCCATTTTAAGCTTTTGTTTGACATCTTCCAGCTCTATTTTGTTGCTTGTTGTCTCTGCAGGTGAGTCAAGTGCAAATCTTCTGAAATGTGTGATTGATAGGAGCGGAATAAGGCAGGGCACCATGTGCATTAGTTGTACTGCACTTGTCACAGTCTAATTAACTTCTCTGACTGACTTTCTTTCTTCAACGGGGTACACTGCCTACTGCTCTTTATATTGTGCATTCTTGTTTAGTTTTCTCTGTGTTGTATATATTATAGGCTTAATAAAAACCCATCACAGAAGATCAACCCAACCATCAAGCATATGATTTTAACCCGACTGGCCAAAATTTTGGGTTGGGTTGTGGTCAGGCTCACTATATATCTACCCTTAAACCCAATAACATTTTGTGCCACCTTCAGCAGAATTGTTTTGGGTAAGTGGCAGTAGGTTTTTATTTTCCATTCCTGTTAAATAATTTTGGCTCACTCTTCTTTGCAGAATTATTTTTGATTTAGTCACATTAGAGGGTTTTTAAGCATGAATTGCCTATTTACGATCACGCCACAGCACCTCAGATGAATTTAGGTCTGGAGTTTGACTAGGTCGACCCAAAATCTTCATTTTGTCTTATGTTTTTTCTTTAAATCATTCATAGGTGGACTTTTGTGCACAGAAATGCACAAAACAAAAAGTATCTACAAACATGCAACACTTCTACATCCACGCTGAGGGAATAGTCTGAACACAGTCGATCCTGCTGAGCGAAGCCCAGTTTACTCAGATTGAAACTGAATTGTTTTGTCTTCTTAAAGCTGCCGTATGTAACTTTCTTTTTTTTTTTTTTTTTTTTTTTTCATATTTATTGGTACTGTCACCGTGTTGTGATGGCATTGTGTGAGACAATACCATCACAACACGGTGCATCAAGTGCCTTTCTGGCAGTGAAAGGCACTTGAGGTCAAGGTCATTTTCAATCATTTCTCCAACATGGTTGTCAAGATTGTGAAGCAGCAAGCCAGCCCCAGATCATCACAAAATGCTGTTTGAACACCTATACTAAAACGTGTCATTTTTGTGTCTAAAAATGTTTTAATTAAATTGAAAAATTAAATCACAAGTTGAACATTTATTTCTGTATTTACTGTGGTTATATTGTTCGGACTTAACCATTTCAGTGTGATAAAAAGCAAAAACAGAAGATATCTGCAAGGTGACTAATGCTTCCTCACAGCACCATAACTGTGGTCTCACAGAAAGGCCTGGAGCTGCAGAAGCC